ATGAAAATTGGCAAATATCGTAGAAAAAGGACTATTGGTCAAATATTTGAATTTTTTGCAATTACGTCTTTTTATTTTCAAGTGTCCATGGTTTTAAACACTCCTAAAGTTTTAATTTTTCATGAGCTTTATTTAAAAAATAAATTCTGAATATTGAATACTTCAGTTTTTAACACTTTTTTGAATTTTTACTCAAAATTAAATAAAAAACAAATTGCCGTGTATATTTTTCCCATAATGACTTTACTTTTCTCAACAACTTTGTGTAAGACGTCATTTCGATCAGAAGTGACGTTTTGGTGCTGCAATTTATCGAGCTCCAAATTTTTATTATTTTTTATCTTATTTGGCCTGGAACTGGTCCTAAAAGCAATCTCGCGTAACTTTTGAAAAGGGCCTATCCTCGTTGATCGATTCTCTTCATCGACTTTCTCTTTGGTTTAGCACGGCAACATAAACGAATTTCTCGCTAAGCTCGCAGCACAGTTCGACAGAAGATGATGTTAGCTTGCGCCTGAAACAACACACTCAATGGTTATTCGCGAAAGAGAAAATCGATGAAGAGAATCGATCAACAATGATAGGCCCTTTTCTCGCGAGAAAGGTCCTAAAAGTAATTAAACTTCTCTGAAAATCTCTGAACTGCTGTAAAATTCCCAAAATACGTCTGAAGTTTTCAAAAAAATTCAGGAGTTTATGATGCTGTCCTGAATTTATCGAAATTAACGTTCACAGATCTTTAAGCTTACCCGAAATTCTGGACGTCCCTGAAGCTATTGCGACAGCTTTAAGCTCTCTTAGCTCCCCTGATAGTCTCTAGACCTATCTTCCCGGTGGTTCTTGAAACTCCTTTGAGTTTTCACAATTTAACTCAAGTTTTCTGAAGTTTTCTTGAAGCTCTCTGGATATCGCTGAAATTCTTCGAGAACTCCTTAAAACTTTCCCTGAAGTGACCCCAAAATTTTACAAAAGTTTCCTTACTATCCCGCAGTCTGTTCATGAAACTTCTTCAAAATCCTCACTATTTCCTTTCATTCCTCAGAACTTCTTCCAAGTAACTACAATTTTTGTTGATCATCCTGAAGTCCTCTTAACTTTCGTGGAATTCTCGCTACTCTTCTGAGGATGTTCCTGTAATTCTCTTTTACGCGTTTTTTTTTTCATTTCTGCTTCACACTGATCACTACGAACTCAAACCACCTCCGTCACCGACCGGAGAAAAGACAACCAAATTGAATCGCAAGTAGAAGTAATGAGTAAGTCTGCTCATCACCTGAAAGTGAACTCCTGATGATGTTCCTGGAAATGCCCTGAAATTAATAAAACTGTCATAAAGAACTCTAAACTTCGCGACGTTTTCTGCAGCACCTCTACTGCCGTTACACGCATAAGAGTCCCACGGTGCATAAGGATTGCATAGAACATGGGACAGTTATGCGTAGAACGGCAGTCTAGGGCTGTCATCATTTTTCTGATTCATTTTTCGATATTTTTCTGAATTTAAAGGAACTGCCGAAAAGTACTCAAACTTCACCTGAGGTCTTCGGAACTCGGAACATCCCTGAAGCTCCCATGATTTGCTCCTGATATCAATCTGCCCTGCATTCTCAGAACTACCGAAGTTTTCTCAACTGACGCTCCTGCAGTTCCTGCAATTTTCCTGAAATTAATGGGACTAGCGCTGAGGTTCTCGAAACTTTCCCGAAGTCTATGGAACTGCCCTGAAGCTACCGGAACCCACCCTAAAGATCTTAAAACTTTTATGTTTTTTTGTTCATTAACTTATTTGATAAGCTCAATCGAATTAACTTTACAGAGCCGTGGATTCTTGTTCACTATGCAAAACATCTTAAAACTATAGTCAAAAGGTACAACACTTTATCTTCCGCTATCCGCTCCTCCATCAGAACGGAATCCGCTTCCAGTGGTTTCATTGTATGGCAGTATTGCCAACGGGGGGCAGAGTACTTCCATTGCAGCAATGAACACAAAACGTGGTCAGCAGTCACACACTCATCACTAAACGGTTGCTTTCCAAAGTCGACGACGCATCGACCGAAAGAATAAATGATGAAGAACAATGAGGAGGACAACACAATGGTTGCTGCCGAGTAAACAAACGATCGCGTGACACTCATCGAGAGTGGTCTGCTTCTGTCGACAGCCGAGCTGAACACTGAACTTCCATGTTGTTCGGAACGTTCTTGATGTTATCGAAACTCCCTTTAAATTCTTTTAATTTCCATGCAATTTTCACCTTCAGGAAGTTCTCACAATTGTTCTCATGTTAATTGAACTAACATAAAGTGATCAAAGATTTCCAAAAGTTTTTGAAACTTCAGTAGGAGGGGCATGTAAACAGGTAGGGCATAATAAGCATCCCGTAGTTTGGCCTTAAATTTCTAATTTAAGATAGTTCCTGCAGTTTCCCTGAAGCTTCCTGAAGTGTCCCCTAAATTTCACAGAAGTTTCCTTACCATCCCGTAGTCCGTTCATGAAACTACCTCAAAATCCTCGGTATTTCCTTTCATTCATCAGAACTTCTTCCAACTAACTACAATTGTTGATCGTCCTGAAGTCCTCTTAACTGCCCTAAAATTACTCTGAAATTAATAAATTTCCCAAAGACCTCTAAACTTCGCGAAATTTTCTATAGCACCTCTAAACTTCCATCATGTAACTTCTTGAATGTTCTCGCTATTTTCCTGAATTTAATGGATCTGTCCTAAAGGATTCAAACTTCACTTTGGAACTCGGAACATCCCTGAAGCTTCCATGATTTGCTCCTGATCCTGCCATGCATTCTCAGAACTGCTCGAAGTTACCTAGCTTCGCTTAAGATCTTTAAATTATACTGAAGTTTTCGCAATTGACGCTCGTGCAGTTTGTACAATTTTCCTGCAATTAATGGAACTGCGCTGAAGTTCTCGAAACCTTTCTGAAGTATATGGAACTGCCCTGAAGCTACCGGAACCTACCCTAAAGATCTTAAAACTTCCATGTTGTTCTGAACGTTCTTGATGTATTCGTAACTTGCTTTAAATTCTCGGAATTTCTTTGAAATTCTCCTTAACGAAGTTCTCACAATTTTTCTCATGTTAACAGAGTTGGGTATTTGGGGCCCCAGAAGGGGGTCCCCGGCTAGAAAGTGGGCCTCAGAAGGAGGCTTCCCTAATACAGAGTTTTGTTTTCAGAGTTCGGAGTTCAGGTTCAAACAACAGTACACATATAATAGCTGAGTAGTGTCACAGTTGCTGGCGTAGCTTAGGTAGAAGTAATTTGTCGTAGTCGGTAGTCAGTGTCGATAGCGGGTTGTTGGTGGTCGCGGCAGTCCTTGGGCTGAAATACTTTCATAACGATTGGCGTCTTTAATAAAGCAGATGACTGCTGCTTCGGTTGATGGGTCATTCGATAGGGCGTTCCTTATGCTTTTCGGTATACCGTATATTGCTGAACACTGGGCAATCTCCCAAAATGTGTTCCACTGTCATGATAAGGTTGCAAGTGTCACAAGTTTTCCGGAAGTTGGAGGAGCAGACCATGTTGTGAGTTGCACGTGTGTGTGCCCGGAACGGAGACGAGACAAGATAATCTGGTCTTGTCGACTTGGGGTGTCCTGCCATTTGGAAGTCTCTCCTTTTACCTTCCGAGTAAAATATTGCCTTGTGGAAGCCCACTCAAGGTTCCAGGCGTTGCGGATAATGACCCTGACCCATCGCTTAATATTGAAACTTCATTTAGGGGTAGGAGGGGCATAATAAGCATCCTGTAGTTTTTTCTTAAATTCATTTCTTTTCAAAACAAATTAATTAATAGTAGGTTCTATACCGAATTGAATTTGTTTTGAACAATAAGAAATTAAAGGCTTAAGTATCTAATGGTCATTATGCCCCACCTGTTCACTATGCTCCTATGTTCCTACCCTTAATTTCCCTAAATTTTTCTGACTGGGACTCTGGGGTTCATGGGACTCTTAACGTCTTTCAAGTTTTCTGAACTTTGTTCTGGACTGAAGTCAATCGAACGGACCTGAAGTTCTCAAATTTTTCCTGATGTTGTTGAAACTTCCCTCAAGCTTTCACAATTTTTCGGATGTTCATGGAATTGCCATGAAATTCTCAGAACTTTCCCGCAGCTTTCTGAATTTTGCTAAAGATCTTTGAATTTACCTTATGTTTTCTGAAGTTTCTTGAAGGTCTCGTAAAGTTCTTCGAATTTTCTTCAAGTTAACGGAACTGTTGTGAAGTTCTCTGATTTTCATCTAAGTTTACGAAAATTTCCTGATGTTCATAGAACTGAATTGAGGTTCTGATTGATTGAAAAAAACATTGGTTTTCGTATCTGGTTACTCATGAAGATCTTAAACTTGGAATTCGAAACTTAAGTCATTGATTTTTTTTTCATTTAGAAAACAACTCGTAAGAAGTTTCTTGTAACAGTTCTGGAAAAACCTGGAAAAGTCAGGGAACATTATTCAGCCAAATTAGTAGTCACCCTGTTCTTCTTATTGGGTCTTTACGCCGGCCCTGAACTTAGTGTTCTTTAAACACTTCCACAGTTGTTAATTGAGTATTATTGTGTGGCAAGGCATACAGCCCAGAGAAGTCGACAAATTTTTCAACCCGAGAAATTCCTGGACTGGTCCTGGCAAACGAACCCGGTCTTGCTCTGTAGCGCGCCTTCTACCGACTGAACTAAGAAAGGCCCCCTATTAGGTATCTGCACGGGGTAAATTAATTCCTTGAACAGCCTACTCGATTGTACGACATTACCCCGAATTTCGTTTCCTAAAATTGATAAGATATCAAGATTGTGCTACATTACCAGTTTGGCGCAGTTGTTATCGGAGATCTCACTATAGATCGAACGCACAGAGGAGAGCAGGGGGTTGTGATCCGCCTTACATACTTAACCCTCCCCATTGTTTATGTTATACCAATCTTAAGTATAAGTCATCAACATATTTCCTAACGAATTCAACGCCATTCTTGTTCTTCCAGTGGAGCTGCGTGCACGACATCCAGGAGATCTCATTAGACGAGGACATGGACAGCGACAGCGAAGACGACGTCTCGGGTGGCGCTTGTGGCGAGCAAAGCCAAAACCAGGACACATCCACAGCCGGTGAAGGTGGTGGCGGCGAAGAGGAAGAAGGCGGCGGCGGTGGCGTTGCGCCTGCTGCAGTGGCAGCTGCAGCCCTTGTCAACGCAGCCGTTGGAGAACCCGCGGAACCGAACCGTATCGGACCCAATAACAACAACAACAACAATAACAATAACAATCAGGCAAACAATGAATTCCATGCGCCGAATTCGGACATTTGGGCCGCCGAAGTGTCCCTGCGGAATCGAAATCTCCGAGTGGAAAACACCCGTTCGTTGAACATGGCCAACGTGTACGGCATCACCAGTGGATTGATTCCACTTTCCCCGGCAGAACATCAGCAAAAGTTCCAGCAGACCATCACGGTCAATATCAATCGGATGTTGTACTACATCGAGGAACCGAACAAAGGTAAGGGTTTCATCAAGGAACCGAGCTTTTCCGCTGATGGTCGGGTGATCTGCTCGCCCCATGGGTACGGCATTCGGCTGTTGGCATTCAACGAGCACTGCGACGAATTGCCATTCATAACGGATCGGGAAGATGCCGGGCCGAAACCGTTCCACGAGATCAAAACCAAACACTGCCACTCGGATGTGGTGGTTAGCAGTAAGTTCAGTCCCAAGTTTCCGCTGCTGGTGTCCGGTTGCTTGAGGGGTAAGATCGTGTGGCACCAACCGGTACTGTAAGGTGGATGAATGTTGTTTGTGCTGTGTGAGCGGATGAATGAATGTTGACGAGCGATTTGGTACCATCCCTGGATGTACTTATTCGACGAGGAATGCTTCCCCGGGTTGTCGACTTAAAGGTTCGAGTTTTTCCCCATTGGGATAGACACACGTAGACACTCAGAAGGATTTGTTTTGTCGGTTGGATTCTCATGGAAAGAAACTCCTCGTCCTCGATTGAGAGGCATAAACCACGTAAAGGCATTTAGGCAGGGCGCGCATAAGGCGCACCATAACTTAAACCATCACTTTCACTTTGATTGAGAAGCGGAGTGACTATTTGATAGATTGATAGGTTGGTGATTAAACACTATTTGAAGCAAGGACAAATACAAAATACCATGATGTGAACCTGCGGAAGTTCAATTGCGAAAGAAAGCTCCATGATATATAAATCAGACAAAGGAACTTAACATGCGGTCTTTGCGGGGTGGTACGTTTTTGCGATGTGAATTGCTTTTGTGCACAGAGTGACTTGAAAAAGAAGGAGGAATTCAAGCTGAACATTGCATTAGGTTCTAAGTAACATTGATCGATTCTCTTCATTGACTTCTTCTTTCGTTAATAACTTGAGCAAAGAACCGTTTCTTGTTGCGTTTGTCGTATTAGATGCTAGATAAAAGCTTCTTTTATCGATCTGTGTGCCGTAAATACCTGGAAATGTCTTTACATGATTGTGGGGATACAAAGATAGAGTCGACGAAGATAATCTGTGAATGTTACTTAGGACCTAATGCAATGTGCAGCTTGAATTGTTTCAAAATGACTAGAGAAAAATATGCGTGGAAGCGTCGGGAATGCGCTCCCGGGTATAATGATTTGGGGAGTACGTTCCAGTTGAAGATTGTTGAAAAGTGTAGTTGTGGTGATGCAAATTATGGTTTTGATGACGCATGGCTTCAAATATTTTGTATATCCAAATAAAACATATGACATACTAAATACGCACAGGGCATCGTCTGCTGACCATTGCCGTGGGTATATCATGGGTACCTCGTGAACCGGTCTCCCACGCTTGATCATGGTTCAACTCTTGAAGAGGCCTGGAGCGGCAGAAAACCTGATTTTTTTCCATGTCAGAGTCTTTGGAACGAAGGCAATGGTGCAAGTACCAAAACAGAAACGACGAAAGTGGGATCTGAAATCGAAATCGTGCGTGTTAACTGGATTTGAGGAGGAAACAAAAGGATATCGTCTATATAATCCTGTTTCAAAGAGCTTCCGGAAAAGCAGAAATGTATGTTTCATCGACGAGTGTGCTGATGCATGCGTTCTTCCGGCATTTCGAGAATGTTCCAGCTCCAGTGGATCCCACCATTCCAGGAAACGGTGCTGCTGCGAACGAAGATGACCTACCTGATTCTGAAAAAGACGAAGACATGAATGATGTTTCCACAAATACGATAGTTGACGTGACTGTGCTCTCTCCGCAACAATCTTCAAATCTGCCTCGGTCACAGGTGTTGAGGCGCAGCGGAAGGGAGCACGTACTTCCAGGCAAGTACAATGATTTCAATGTTCAGTGCAAAGGACTTCCCACAAAACATTTTCCCCCAGCCAAGCCCAGACGGTTCAAGCGATTTTGAAGTGTTCAGTGATGCTGAAGGTGGTTCCGAGCAGTGTTTGACAACGGAATCGAGCAACAACATGGCGGCTAGAGGCACGATCGATGATGTACCAAAATCTTACAAGGAGACAATGAACTCATCCTACGCAGAGAACTGGAAGAAGGCGATGGCAGAGGATAGAGTCGATTCACGCGAACGAGACGTGGACGTTGACTGATATCCCTCCAGGACGGAATGTTGTGGGCTGCAAGTCGCACAAGGTTTCAGTCAACAGTACGGATCTGATTACGATGAGACAAACAATTTTCCGAACGTTGATGACATGACTATCAAGCAATACGATGTCAAAACCGCGTTACTGAATGGCGATCTCGAGAAGAAGATATATATGCGACAGCCATGCCGACACGTTGTGAAAGAAAGCGAGGGCAAACTATGCAAGCCTAAACGGAGCCTGTACGGTTTGAAGCAAGCGGCTAGAGCATGGAATCAGAGGCTACACGAAGTGTTGAAGAGCCAGCAGTTCCAGCGATGTAAGTCTGACCCGTGGTTGTACCGGAAGCAGCATAAAGGACGGTGGTGTTACGTGCTTGTGTACGTTGACGATCTGGTAGTGGCGAGTGAAAACCCAAGGATGCTCGAGTCGCTCGTTAAGACATTGAAGAGGTCGTTCGAGATAATCGGTTATATCCTTTATTACCTGTACATGGAAGTGGCCAAGGACGATAACGGAGACTATTTCTTGAGCCAGAGAAAGTACATTCGGAAGGTAATCGCAACGAGTGGTTTGACAGATGTCAAAGGCAGCGTTGCCAGATTGTTTTAAAACTTATCGGTATCAAAGGTATTTAAAATTCGGTATTTATCGGTACCTATTGACTATTTTTTAAATTTTCTATTTTTGCCGTTTTTGAAAGCGAACATTTTAACGATGGTTACGACTGGGATTTGAGGGGAATTGCTTTGTTTGACGGCTTTCTCAGTCTTAAAAAAACTCTTTATTTCAATTTTTAAAATTTTTGTTGTCCTTAAGTGGTGCTCAAAATGGTCACCAAGCACTGTTTTTTTTTCGATTAAATATCATTAAATGAAACCAAAATATGGAAAATCAGCCATGACTTAACTACTGGCAATAACGACAAAAAATATTTTCCCTTGAAAAAAGCCACAATCTATGGCGGAAATGTCGTGCAGATTACATTGTAGTCGTTGCATTGTTTTAAGACTGAGAAAGCTGTTAATCAAAGCAACATTTTAGCTTCTGAACGAAAAATTCCAGAAGAAAGCACCGGGGAATGTTTGAATTAGTTTCTGAATGGAGCTGGAAAAATATCCAGAGAAATACGAAAGAAGCTCTACTGGATGAAGTTCGAGAAAAGCTGGGAAAACCTCCGGGAAACTTCAAGACACGAATTGAGAAACTTGTGGCGAAAATTTAAATAAACTATCGGAAAAAATTCAAAGGAAGCCAGAAGAAGCTCGGAAAAACCTTCCAATAGAAGTCGAATAAAAAAAACTTTAACTTTGAGTTTGACCATAAACTTCCAGAAGAAGAGGAAAGAAATTTCTTGGAGGATTAATTGAACTTCCTTGAGAAGGCGAAATAAACTTCCTGGAGGCGCTGGCAGAAACTTCCTAAGGTAGATTGAAACAAATATCTGAAGAAAGTCGGAAGCCAGAGCGTTTACGGAACAGTCGAGAGAAACAAGGACATTATTCCGGAAGAAAGAGATTCCTGGGGGATACAGAAAATGTTTCAATGATGATCCAATGATCCAGAAAATTTTCCTGATATTCAAAAAACATCCCTGAAGACTCAGAAATTTCCCTGAGGTTTTCAGAACATTCCTGAAATACACTTAGGAATATTCCATAATTCCCCAAAATTCCTTAAAAGTTCTTGTAATTTTCCGGAAACTATGGGCTGTTTTGGAGTTATCTGGTCATCTTCGAAGCGAACTTCCCTGATTGTAATAAAACTACTGGAATATCTCTAATTATCTTAGAAGGTCTCTGGATTTTTTTGAAGATTACGAAATCACTTAAGTTGCTCTCACAATTTTCTTGAATTTATTATAACATAAGTATTGAAGTTCTCTGATCTTCCCGATTTTTTTTTTTAATTTTTAAAAGTTATCGACACTGCCATTAAAAACATAGAACTTCCCATAAAATGTTATCACAATGATCTAATGTTCATGTAACTTCCCTTACGTTTCCTAAATTTGCATGGACATTGCTGAAGTTTTCGGAAATTGTCTGAGTTTCTCGGAACTCCAGAAATTCCATTGAAATAATTGATCTGTCCTGATGCTCTCTGAGCTTCACTAAAGTTCCTAAAAACCAATAAGTTACCCTGAAGTTCTTTGGACTTGTGAAGTTTTCAAAATATTTATGATGTTTCCTTAAGTTCACTGGACTTTTCTGAAATTTCCGGGTTTTTGAATTTTAAGAGAAATTAATTAAACTGTCTTTAATTAATCGAAAATTACACAAAAGTCTGGACTTTTCTGAAGTTTCAGAACTTTTTAAATGTGCCTGAAGCGAGTGTGGATCCGCAATAAAAATCTGATAGCATCCTTGAAGCTCCGGGAAAGTAAAAAAAAAAGCTGGCGGGAGAAGATGAAAGAATCATTTGAGCGAGGGCTGAAAAAGCTTCCAAGGTAAGGTGGAAGAAAATTCCAGGGAAAGTTGGATGAAACTTCAGGAAGTTTTAAAATGAATAAAAACTTCCGGAAGTTAATTAATGTTTAAAATATATATCTCGATTCCCTAGGAATTACGAGAAAGACCCATCGACTATTTCTCGATTGATGGGTTGCCAAAAACGGTGAGGAATGCAAACATTAGTCGAAAGAGTATCAATCAAAAAGATACAAGTCTCTCACAAAATTTTTCTCTGAAAATCGATCGCGGGCAAATACTTTTGATCATTTAAAAAAAAACGGTATAAATCGGTATAAAATCTTAAAAATCGGTATTCTGAGGAACCTTATCTGTATATCGGTATCTTGTTTGAAAATCGGTATAAATACCGATAAATCGGTATATCTGGCAACGCTGGTCAAAGTTTCCAAAACACCACTGACCCTGGTGGTCTTAGCATTGGGCGATCTTAAGGCAAGAATCGATCCTAGTGAATCGATTTTTTTTTTCAAATAATCGATTCACCGATTTAATCAATCATTTTGAATCGATTCATTTTTTCAAAATGGCACAAAAATGTTTTAAATATAACGGATCATAGTTGGTGCAAATTAAGCCAAGTTCAGTCTAGAGTTGATATTACGTTACATAAGCTATCTTGTTATGACATTTCACCTATAATAGTCATTTAGTGTGATGATTGATATCATTTAGAAATAAATTGTGTGGTATGTACGCAGTGAATGTTGTGAGTGTAACATACATCACTGCTGTTCATTAAAATAGGTGTAGGTAAAATAAATGCGAAATTTTAGGTTATGTTCATTTAACTTCATTTTATTCGACTTTAAAGTTAGGCATTTGATAGTGTAATAAAATTAAGTAATTGCACGAGAAAACTCAAGGTTAAAACATTAAATGGCTCACTAGAATCATATATAAAATATGCCTGGTCAGTGAAATAGGTGTGTTGCATAAAACTATAGTATAGGAAGCTTGAAAATAATCGTATAAGTTTTATTAGACTAATGACGATTAGTTATCGCTGTGCCATCCATTGTTAAGTAGAACCTTGCTAAATCTTCTTGGCATTTACTCAACCAAGCACTGAAAAATT